TATATATATAAATCAATGGAACAAAGGTAAATAATCCACTGTGTTAATTATTCACTACGTTTTATAATTCCACAATTTGATAATAATGTCTCATCGGTTCTTATTAAACATGACATTCAAAAAATATTCAGTTTCCCAGATGAGGTAAAATACATGAACAAATTACTTGAATGGAGGTTGGGTCGCCAAAATGTAATAGGGCCACCATTATCAAAAAACTTTAAATGCCAGAGCATTATATTATATATTATGCATCTACTTTAAACAAAGACAGATGGATAGATACTCTACAACACCATATTCTGGAATCGACACGACCTCAAAATCATATATTATATTAGAAAAATGAGAATTGGAAGATACTACCATGTCCTGTGGTATGATCAAGTTACTTAATGTTAGGTAACTTGTACAGCAAAGATGTTTATTTGGCGTGCTGTGTTACATAGGCGATGGGTAGATAATAACACTAAAAGCAAATCATAACATTCAATCAAAATAACGCACTGATTGTAAACGTGAGGCGCTCTTTGAAATTCTGTCACTGATATCTACTTACAATTTTAACGGTGACATAAAATTTTGAAAACGAAAATATTTTATATGTTAGTGTTTCGGTGGTTGTTTGTTCGATTTGCTATTAAAAGACGTTTTATTCAAGCTATTTTTACTATAGGAGATGTTTTTTAAAGCGTTTTATTATCTTTTGTTATAATACGATGACGATTTTAATTATGTTGGTTAATAGCAAGTTAAAAGATATGATATCGCATTAATTAGCTTTAGTGGATGCTTATTCTTACATCAGGTTTTTTTAGATTGATCATGTAATAACTATTGATTTTTTAACTACTATTGTTGTTACAATTCTAATGAATTGTGATACAATAAGAAATCTCATATGTAGAGGCAGTGATTTAATTTAGTTTTATGAATTGAATCTTCTTTATAAAATGCATGTAATACCATTATATTTCAAACAATTTATATTAATTAATAATGATTAAAATAATAATAGTAGTAAGAGTAATAATAAATACGCCAAATAATAATAATAATAATAACAATAAAAATAATAATAATAATAACAATTGCTGAATGTTAATGGTGTAACAGTAGTAAGGCCTACTACATTCATTACGGTACATCTGCCATTGGATGCAACATATACGCCGCACGTTCCTTCTATTTTTATTTACTGTATGACAACAACAACTTTCTTTACGTAATGTCATAAATGCAGTGGTAGGATCATGTTTTATGCTTTACAAAGCATGCGTCATGAACTTAGATAATTAGCATTCAGGTTCATGTACAGGTTTTGATAGCAGTTTCATATCATTTTTCATAATATAAAAATATTTAGAAACCACTACTATGAGATGAGACAGCATTAGTCGGGGGCAACTAAAGCAAAGTTTTACTGTATTTGAAAACCGACTGTGCTTGACGAAAATCGACTGTGTTTTTAACCGCTGTGCCTGTAAAATGAGACGAGTGTGCTTGAAAATCGACTGTGTTTGAAAGTTGCCTTTTTGGCGATCCATATAAAACCACAAAATCAACTGACAGAGTAACACGGCTAGCGAATGCGGAAGTACGTACGTAAACATTACCATGTGGTCAGAACACATCTAGATCCAATGAAAAACAACAGTAAAGGTCATTATTTTTATCTCAGTTTAAGCCGAAATATGGAATTATATTCACATCGTAAGATGGAGACTTCGATGATCTATTGGCCTAATGTTACAGTTTTTCATACCTGTAGATTTCGATTTTTGATTCCCTCGGTTTTGCATTATGCCATCCTTTGAAAAAAGCGTAATTCCCGGTGTAGTGCCCAATTCATCACCAGAAAGACCCCACTGGAAACAATTCTTATCCTTGGTGTTGACACTAAAATACTCCTAGACTAAACCCATTACGTACTACTCCATAACTTTTGCTATGGATATTAATATTATTCACAAGTGACTTGACTCACTGAGATGATGAAAGTACACGACGACCCCGGTTACAGACATATTGTCGTGCCCATGGGACGCCAACGTAGTTGAACTTGCATTTGTGAAAATGATTCCAAAATCTTGTTACTCTAACTTTGTGGTTAGGAAAAAATGGACAAGTTCTATATTCAGCAGGGTTCGAAATAACGCTGGTCCGCCGGCCAATGGCTAGTAAAATGCATGGCGGACCTGTTAATTATCCCAATAACAAGTCCGCGTGACCAGTTAAAATGTCAATGAAAATCTGACGAAATACCCAAAGCTTTAATCATTCACCTCTTAACGATGTCTTTACAAAATATTTCACACAGATAATGTCAACAAGATCGCTATTTGCTGTTTATTATAATGTTAATGTCCGCTACGAACCGATAACATCACGCATCATAGAGGAATCCATGGCTAGACGTACAGACAGAGGGAAATCACCTTCTCCGCATGATATAGCGACAAGTAGAAGTTGATTTCCGTCTGTGTGAGCACCGTGAATTTAAAACATCCATGTCATGTATCCATCCCACAATGCAACGTGGGACAAAAAGTTAATAAACAACGCAACGATTTCCAGACGAAATAACGCAATAACCACACCCTGTAAATGAACCGTTCGTACAGTCCCAATAGCATTGCCATGGAGATTGTCTATTAATTAAAACAACACGCCAGTAAAATGTTAGATAAAGTGAAAGTTATGCCTTCCATTGTTTTAATAAAATGCATTATCGCCTATGAATACTTAAAAATCGACTGTAATCAACCTGAAATGAAAAAGGAACTCAAAGCAACTGTTTCTACGACGGCTCTTTTTCAGTAGACGTTTAATTCGGATTCGGTATGTCATTAGATTCATATTATATTAGTACGTCTACATGTAAATTACACTCACATTCCCCAAAAAACATTGCTAATTACGGAGGGAATTTGCAGAGAATGAAATTTTAATTTGTTAGATTAAATTTTAGATTTTACTCTAAAACAAAACTACAAGGGTTTCTTATTCATTTTAATAAATTTGTTTAATTACAAATTTATCGGTTTACACTAAGCTTGTTCCTGCCAGCAAGCTGTCACGCACTATGAAACTTTGGGCGGTCTGACGTCACCACAGCCAAGCACATGGGATTTTTGCCCAGCAACATAACCCCACGAAAAAAATTAACCAATTACCGTGCAGAGTTTAGGAGGCGCGACCTCATATATTGACAAGTCGCTTCGTCGTGACCACGAAGGATGTGTTGTGTTTACAGTTTAGAAAAAATGTCAGACCGAAAATGCACGTAAAAACAATATAAAAGCATTCATTTTATTGGTACAGT